AAAAAAAACATAACATGAACCGCATCCGCCATAATTAAGCGCCATTCAGTGTACTAATTAGATGAAATTAGTACACATTTTCCCAATCCGAAGGCGAACTATCACGGGTTCCCAAGTTATTCCTGAATGAATGAACTCTTGGATCATAAGCGAACAAAAGATGAAACTCGTCCAGATTCTTGCATGCATTGTTCTTGTTCGACTGTTGATTCTCTTCTACCATGTTTATCGATTTTCCCAAGCTCTCCTCGCGAGATTTCAAGATGTTAAATCTGGCCACATTAGGGTCTACATGCTCTCCATTGACACTCTTATCGGGTTTCTGTAGTCCTTCCATATGGAAAGGCTTAGCACTTTCTTCTCGGGATTTCAGGATATTGAACCTAGCCATGACGGAAGCTTCTAAACTATCAGCAGGCCCATCTGTGCAAGAAATAGGAACATTCTGAAGAACGGGCTTTGGGATTGGGCCATCATGATGGCCCTTAGGGCCCATCTCGGAAGCTGTGATGCCTTCAGGTGAAACGCAAACTTCAGGCACTTCACTGTCTTCATTGTCTGATAGACTTACAGGCAACAGACATAATGATTGATTACATAAATGCCCCCAAGGCTTACCCATTATCTTCGTTTTTAATAATTATCTTGAACTTGTTTCGTTTTATAAATTCTGTTCTGAAGTGGGCATTTGTGACATTTCAACAATTATCCTGAATTTGTTAATCTAACCTTGTGGGGCCTTGATTTTAATCTGCCCCATCTGGATCTTCATTCTGTCAAAACGAGCTTTGTAATTGATGGAACACAGTTTAGCTTCAGCATCAAGCCACAAATTCTTGAATAGAACTGCTTCTGAGTGAATTTCTTCATTTAGGTGGAAATTCTCGTCGAGGACCTTCTTTATAGCCTGCAAGGTGGCCGAAGACATAATGGATGATAGGCTATAATGTTCAAGAACACGACTTAAATTTTACTATGTACCTTGGTCATATTGTCATCACTTGTTATGTCTAAGTCATCCATCAAGGATGATAAAATTGGTGATTTCTCATCCTTCTTAACAGAAAGGCTGTTATTTCCTTCATGCTCATGCTTTAGCTGACCATCAAGCTTGAAATCTGAATATGGAGCTGCATTTATCGTATGAGTATGAATTCCTAAAACTGTGCCCTGGAGACGAAATTAAGTCAGAAAGCTTCGAGGGTTAAGAAAAAAGCTAAAGAGAAAGAAAAACAATAATTTTTTAAATCAATATCAACCATGATTTTTTACATATTTTTTGATAAATTTCACTATGTACTCTGACATTTCCAATCACCAATCATATTGAATATTAATTTATTTATTTCTATATACACTAACATTCATCAGTTCTCTTTCATCTCATCACACTCTTTTCATCAATATTCTCCCACAGCAAAAAGAAAAATTGAAATGAAAAGGTTGTTAGAAACACTCAAAACCAAGCATTGTAAAGACATTGGCCAAAACCAGTAGATATAAGCAGAGAGGGTTGGCAAAGAAAAAACACAATATAACATGGTTCCATACAAAAATGAATCCATTAAGCTATAAGCTGTCTCTAATAAATAGTGCATATCCACAAACAAAACATACCACATTACGGTACTCCCAAAGTTTGCCATGTCTGTCTCCAGCAGGATTATTTAATTCCAGCTTCCTACCTCCCTCAGTGAATTTATTTCGCATACAGGAATTAAGGTTGCTGATTATATTCTCGAGAGTCTCCGTACTTTCTTTCTCAAGAAAGCATGACTCACTCGAAAGATGAAGCATAAGCAACTCGGAAAGGTTATGCATTGCCTTTAACGCTGTTGGCACGAACAATTTTCGATCGACTTCTTTAATATGCTCGTTGGCATCTTCTTGAGAAGCAGGGGAAGCCAGAACTTTCTCGGCAGCATGAACAGCAACACAACCACTTTCACTGACATCATTTAGAGTCGTCACTTCAACTTCACTAGTTAAATGCTTGGCACTGGAAATTTTCTCATCAAAACCACCCGTCAAGACATTTGCAAGGACAGATTGTCTTCCCAGCAAATTGGGTTCATTAATTGTCTCATTTCCTTTTGCTATCCAACCTGTACATTTTGCATCACCCAATAAACCATGGTGTTTACTTGAACAATGAGCATCAGACTCATTTTTTCCAATGTTACTGTTGCCTTCACTAGACTTTCCGGGAAAATCTTGACAGAAATCATAGACCGAGTCGAGATTCTGTTGGTGTGCTTCATAATTGGACCGATTACATTCGTCCATATTTTTCTTCAAATTGTTGGAGTTTCCAGCTTCTATATCAAGTGTTGAAAATTGAGAAGAACACGATGCTCCTTTCCAACAAGGCGAATCCACAACAAACTCCAAAGAATTTTCAGAGGACTTTGCCATTTGAACATCATTACCACCAGCTATATTTAACCCACCATAGATACTTACATCACGCGATTGAGCCCCAAATCCGGTCTTACACTTACAATCAAGTGAGTCCCTAGACTGCAGCGGTGTTGAAAGTTCTTTCGGTGGAACAGAAAAATTCCCTTGATCGGGAATGTCTATAAGGCTTGTTTGAAACGAACCTTCCTTAAACTGGGAATTAGGTACTGGACCAAACTTCACACTCTGCACACTTTCGACATTGTCACACTGGGTGGGCTTACAGGCAAGAGTGGACTGTTTAATGTAACCATTATTAGCAGGTGATGGCCTAATGACAACTGTAGGGGAAGCCATGATTGCTGCTACAGAGTCAATAAATGGTTTATCAACAGGTTTAACACACTTAGTGGATGAATTCTGATCATCTGAGAAACTCTTGTTCAATTCAGATGATGAGATAGAATAGTGAGATTTAGGATAGGTAAGAGTGTAGGCTGTGGGGATCGATTTTATTGGCACCCGGTTGAATAATTGATTTGTAATACCAGAACAACCTTCTTTAGATACTTCCGTGTTCTTTTCGGCGCCCGGCCCTCCTGATTAAAGCAAACCAAGATACATAGGCAACACAGACTGAGACAAACTGCTCAGATAATGAAAGGGAATGGCATCAACCAATATACGCATAAAACGAACAGATACATGGTCATAATTAAGCTTTACCATTGACCGAAAAAATGTAAAGAAATTTTGTTAGTGGGTGGGGTAGGGGAGGTGGGGGAATCACATGCTAAGAGAGCGATATTAATCAGAAATTAAAAATTCAAAGTTGATATCCATTGTTCCTTACTGACTCCAATGAGGCAATTGGTTTTACATGCTTCGAAGAACTAGCAAACATACTTCAAATAATTAACAAACATACCTTGATTCAATTGGCTTCCACAACTGTACAAGCCACCAAGATTTGGTTTCTCAATTAAAACCCCCTCACAGTCCACTCTCTTGGCCCGCTTACCATCATCAAGTCCCGAATTACCAGTCCATTCAGCTTCATCATAATCCACATCCCACATGCCCCGAGTATAGTCAATTTGAGATTCAAAATTCCCTCCAGCTTTCATCCCTTTATTGTAACGAAACCCATCCGCCTCGACTAATTGACTCACTTCTCCAACCATAGGAGTCACATAGGGCGAATAATAAGGCTTAACTTCACCACCATAGGCAAATGCACTCGACAATGACCCTCTATTTCCCGAGCTAAAAGTGGACCAATGAGTAACAGTCGGGCCAACAGTTGTCAAAGCTGAAAATTGGCAGCTATCGGGTAAAGGCACGTTCGAATTTCCAGAGGGTTGTAAAACAACCGGGGCTGACGGGCTCGAATATTCCCAACCATGGCTGTAAGGCGACTCGTGGTAATGCAAATTAGCGCTTGAATTGGGCTTAGCATTTGGTTTATGGACAGTAAATGGAGGGGCTAACGCTGATAAATTCGAGGTTGAAGATGATGAATTTCCTCCAGCTCCGTTAACCATAGGGCCAAAACCCATCATTCTAGCTCAATGATCGGAATTTTATATAACTGATTAAATCAAAAAAAAAAACCCAGAAAAATTCAAAATTTCACTACTTCGATCATTGAAGAAAAGATAGCAACGATTAAAGGGAATGATAAGACAATTGAAAAAATCGAAACATAATCCGCGATAACTGATAATCATGATAGAACGCTTATCGATAATACATAAAAGAAAAGATTAATAAAGGGGGAAATAAATCTCACCAGAGAAAGATAAGGAGAGATGTCTCTTTCTCTCTCTAACTCTTCTTCTTCCAATTCCAAATGAAGTAGTACATGAGAAATGTGCAGCTGTTCAGCAGTGTTTTGGCTTTTGCTGGATTAAGTATTTACTGACTGCTCCTTTTAGTTTTGCATAATTCGACTTTTGGCGATGAAGATAACCAATATTTACCGTAGAGCCCCCATCAGGCTATCACTCACGTGTCACGTGTTTTTTGTCTACAGAATTTTCGCGTGCATGAGCCGGGAGTGAAATGAAATCTTTATCTATATATATATAATTGCTAGCATATAGCATTTAATTTTACCTATTTAATAAAACCTTTAACATTTTTCTTCCATTTTCGGTTACAAAAATTATCATTAATATTTTTTATTTCTCACATTAATACATCATAATGAGTATAATCATTTATTTTTCTATTATATTATATAATAATTATTGCTAATACCAACTAATAATAATTCACAATAAATATAAATTACATAATTAAGAACAATTGTTTTAAGTTATTTATTTTAACATCAATATTATCTTTTTCTTTTGTATCTCATGACAAAAATTTCTTTAAAAACAATTAGTAAATTATTTTAATAGCATAGTCAAACAACTTTAGAATCTTATAAACAATTGTTTTAATAATAATAATAATAATAATAATAATAATAATAATAATAATTAAACAATTAGTATCGAATGGTAATATACAATTGTTAATAATAATAAAATCGTTATTTTTTTTCTAATGATCAAATTTTTGAAAATGTAATATGTTCATTATCTAAAATTTTTTTATTAAATTCTCAAATATATTACTTATAATATTATATGTACATTTGTGCATGATTGGCATATATATTTTTTTTTCTGAAAATCAGAAACACTAATAATTTTTTTTATTTATGTTAATTTTCTTAATATATGCTACAAATATATAAATTATTTTATTCATGTTACTAATATAAACGTTGAATGGTTAAAATACAATTTAAATCTCAATTAATTTTGAATGATAAAAATAACTTAAGAAAAAATAATAACTTTTATATGATAGAAGCACATGTCTAATTAGGAGGGTGTATTCAATTGAGATTTTTAAGAACTTTTTAAAACTTTTTAAATTTGATGACTTTTGTGGACTTTGTAAAACTTTCATGACTTTGGTGGACTTTTTGAGACTTTCAGAGAATTTTTCATCAGTGACTTTTTAAGACTTTCATAATGAATTTTTTAAAACTTATTGAGACTTTTATATACTTAGTGTTATAATATTATGTTTGAATAAAATATTAATAAACTTAACATAATAACTTATATAAACAAGAATAAATGAAAAAAACAAAAAGATGTTGTATATATTAATCCTCTAAAAATTTATGAATAAACTCATTTTTATGCGAAATGAGTTATTCACGAATAAATTGTTTAGGATTTTAGATTTATTAAACGACTAAATCGATCCGAGCTTCAACGAGTCGAATCGATCAGGGCCTTATATTTGTTTGTTAAAAGAGTACAAGGTCAAATATGTGTTAGACATCTCTACTATAACGACACTTATAATAAACTCAAATTAAGATATATTTATTTAATTATTTATTGATTTTATTTTTTATATTTTTTGCATAATGTTGTTATATTAGAAAATCTATCTATATATATATAATTGCTAGCTAATCATTAAATAAAACCTCATAAATAAAACCTAATTAATAAAACCTCATTTATTTTCCCTCCAAAAGAATTTACAAAATTTGTCATTTATATTTTGTCTTTCACATTAATACACCCCTATTAAGTGTAATCATGTAAAAAAATTAATAGCATTAACTATTATAAAATATAATAGCAAAAAATAGCATTAACTACTATAATAATAATGATAATGTTGATAAACGGATTTGATCAACTTATTTATAATTATATTTATTAGATTAATAGCGTGATGAGACGATTTTATTGAACAATTGAGAATTATCTAGGAAAATATCAAGTCGGTATTTCGCGGACTTGAGGTCGGTTTTTCTTATACAATGATGCTAAAGTTGGCAATAGCCGAGGTGATTAATGCAGAATTTATGTGTCGGAAAAAGATCCTCGTATTGCCTTTATTGCTGCTATTTATAGTAACTGGGGGCTCATCTTTTGAGGAGATTCGGCGGCATTTAATGAGGAATGACATTTGCGCAGCTTTTTCTGTCTGTGGGGCCCCCTCGCGCAATGATGTCTCCACATGGGCTCTGTACAGTCGATGGTACCCGCATTAAATGCTGCTTGTCCGCTCCGACGTCGGCCTGCACCCGAGGTTGCCTCGCGTAGGAGGTCGGCTTCCAGACAAGGTCGGCGTCCTAAATGAGGTCGGCCACCGCAGGTCGGGCTACGTTTCCTCGGCACTTTTGGGCGTACCCCCTTCACTTTTCTCGCCGTCCACGTGTCAGTCATCCAACGCTAAAGCATATTTTTAGGTCAACATTGAGGCCCCTGACATTGAGGGGGGCTAATACTTAAGCCCGCCTTAATGTCATTCCTGGTATATATCTGCACCCCCTCTGTCCGAATCTCAACCGACCTGTTATACTTAGCCAAAAGACGCAACCCTTCCAGTCTGGCGATTCATGGGTTTTCCAATCATGGCGCGTGATGTCACGATTCGACGCGCCTTCTTTCTTCTGACTTAAGCGGTTTCGACCCTTCTTTGCACGTTCCCACGATCTCTGACAGTTTTCACACGTGGCAGTCCCGTATTGGTCCGCGTGTTCCCGTTGAGACAAGACAGAGCGTCCCTATCCTTTAAGGTGGCGGTTCGCGAATCGCCGGTTATCTTTGTAACGGTTACATCTTCTGGGTATAAATACTCCTCTTTTTCCCTTTCCTTGAATCACACAACCTTCTCCCTGTTTGACCCTTTGCTTTCGATCTCACCTTTTCCTCTACTCTCTCGGTTATCGTTCCCGGCGTCCCTGGCCTCGCCGTGTACTTTTGGTAAGTCTTTCATCTTCTTTCCCTTCCGTCCTTCAATTAGTTAGCACGCTTTCCTCTTTATTTTCGCTTCGAATTTATCGACTGCCGGGAAGAATGGCGGAGCGAGCGGCAGAAAGTAGTAGCCGGACGGTCTCCGACGAGGTGGGTCGTGAGGTCGTCTCCGACGAGGAGGAAAACCTAGAGTTGGCGCTGGGTTATTACCGTTGGGATCCGCTATTGGCTGAGCGCTTGGTTTTACGGTGGGACAACCACGAAGGTGACGCCGAGGTGGAGAGTGACCTCCCTGTTCGCGAAGGTTTCTGGAATCGCCCTCCCCGACGTTGGGCCAACCTTAACGTTCCATTCCCGGGCGAACCCAGCACGATGACGGATGCCGACGTGGTACTACTGAGGAAGTCGGCTCGGATTCCCCCCACAGTAAAGATGTTTGCCCCGTACCCTGGCGAGAGGATCCATTCTCCTCCTCCCGGGTGCGTGGGTGTTTTTGCCGAGACTATCAAGTCGGGGCTTAGATTCCCCCTTCCCAACATCATCACCGATTATCTCCGGGATTGGGGGGTCGGCATCTCCCAGATTACGCCCAACAGCTGGAAGAAAATCATCGGACTGTTGGTCCTTTGTGCTCAGACCAAGGTGCCATTCCCGTCGATTGACGAGTTTCGGAGCGTCTTTTTCTTCAAACGTAGTCGGGAGCGTGACGGCGTGCCACCCTCTGGTTGCTTTTTCTGTTCTGCCAAGGCACTGGGGGATCTGAAGGTCGGTCA